ATACCACCACCATCACCACCACCACCACCATCACCACCACCACCACCACCACCACCACCACCACCACCACCACCACCACCACCACCACCACCAGCATCATCATCATCATCATCATCATCATAAGTATCATCAACAAAATCATCAAAGTTTTTCTTGCACACATCATTTGAACTAATGTTATCGTCTTTGGGCATCTGATTATGAAGCAGTGGTTAGTAAGCTAGCCTGGTAGAACATCTACTACTGTTGTGGGTTCGTTCCTATTTAAATAAGTACGACACAAGATCACCATACGGGGGAAGACTCAGAAATTTCCACTATGTTGATAGCTCGGAAGTAGGGTTTAATTATTGGATGTGCCGCTCTGTAAGTGATGGCGTGTAGCATGGTGAGTCAATCTATTACATGTCATTGTGCTGATTGGATAGTGTGTTTTTTCTATAAATATATTTTTATTTTCAAGCCACCATGACAGATGTGAAAGAACAGTTCATAAGAAGTATATATATATATATATATATATATATATAGTGTTGTTTATATGGTATCTTCCTCTTTGTTGATTTTACCGTATCGTTTAAGCCAATATGTTCTTTCGCCCTCCTCAAAAATTAATTTCATTCAATGTCTTTTGCAACTCACAGATTACATTTTTTCTTTCTTATCTTCTCAAGAATAACACCACAGCTTAATAAATTTACAGAACTGTATGTCAAAGTCATGCGTTTGCTAGAGAGAATTCTTCGGCAAGACGAGAAAGCCTCATTTACTTGTCATTAGAAAACCGTTCTTACGTTGAACTCCTGATATGGGAAGCCTTAAATAGTTTTACTATTTCTCACCATTATGGCTTCCCATATCAATGGGACAATGACAAGTCGATTCTATGATTAAAATAACATATCGTATTTTCTTGTGTATAATACAACTTGAGTATAATACAACTCCATGTTTCTGAAGCTAAAAACAGGGAATGAATTACGTCCTTGAATACAATACGACCTCCTAGTACAGCTATCCGTATGTAAATTTGTCTTTGAAAAGTTCTTCCATGTTACTCGTTAAAATATCAATGTCGTACATATATTTCATTAAAATATTTAATTTTTCACGATATTAAAGAATAGAAATTAGCCATTGGGTGGGGGTAAGTGCTAACTCGACATATTCGATAATACATTTTAAGGTGTTAATTAATCTATCATACTTTTCTATATGATATGACTATATGATATTTCTATATATTAATAAACTATGAAAATAAAAAAAATATTGTCTTTCATTAAACTGAAAAGAGAAACAAATATTGCTGACATATCATATACTGTTTTTAAATTGTTGTTATCAACACCTGCTTTTTTATTATCTGTTGTGTTGAGTGGATTTGCAATCTTGCTGTTTCAAATAAGTTTTTTTTAGCTGAGTAAAAATTTCTGTAAACGTGTACTTGTGTATAATACGACCTGCATTATTTGCCTTTAGTTTTCATTCAAAATTTCTCGTATTATGCACAAGAAAATGCGGTAGTTTTTTTTTTCAGCAGCCTCTTGCAAGCACGAAATTTTGACACTAAACTTGCGGGATATTAATATTATTTAGACTCGGACTAAATTCCTCATCTTTGTTGTTACTAGCACAACATCTCGACCAGTTTGCCCTTTGGCCGTGTTTGTTTGGCAGGATCGTCGCCAGTGTGTTTTGAGTGGTGGGCAGGCTGGCCTTTAAGTCACGAGGTGGGTGCGAATAAAAATGTTTTATGCTAATGAATGAATTTATGTGAATTATAACCCCCAGTTTGGGGTAAACAGTGACTGGTTTCCAGATTAGAGAAAGTCATAAATAAAAAGAGACCGTTTACATTTTTATGATTTATATGATTTTTTTCTTGACCAACATGAAGGATGGAAAGAGAAATACTACCAAGCACTGTAAATTTCTTCGATGAAGGTTTTATATTGTAAGAATTAACACGTTAAAATTAGTTCACATCTTCTTCGAAGTTGTGCGGCAAGTTATTTTTGGAGGGGATAGGCAACCTCCAAGTCCCACCATGGATAATCTCTCCAAAATTCATATTTTTGTTCTGTTTTTATTCGAGTACTCTCGACCGTTATCTGGAACTATTTTTTGCAGTTTCGTAGAAATTTTTCATGTCACACGTCCTTGAGTGACTATTGATTATGTGCGGTGTCCCTTCAGGATGTTGGTGATCATAGCTCTCCACAATTTTCCATCCTTTGTAGCTTTTTATAAATTTTGACATTTTGCTTATTTTCCTAAACCATGTTCCGCCATCCATTTACTGAAGCTCATTCGATAGCTTATGCGTTGTTTTTCTCTACTCGTCTTGCTTTCATTCTGGCCTGTGAGTATCACATTTTTCAAGCCCTCTTTCCTCATAATTTGCCCTAGAAATTTCAACTGTCTCCTCCTGGTGTTAAGTATAAGTATTCATTTTGTTTCCATTTTCTCTAAAACTTCATGTTCTATCCGCCTTCTGTAGAACCATATTTCTGTTGCTTCAAGTCTCTTCTTCATGTGTGATGAGATTCCTCAATATTCACTGACATATTTTATATAATGATGTTCACTCTGTACAAAACCAGGAGCCACTCGAATTAGAAGGAGAGACATAGTTTATAAGAATATGTGATGAAGATAACGGTTAACGATAGACTTGAACAGATTAAAATGGTAGTGATCGGGGAAATATCCTCAACGGGAAGGAGGGATATTACGTAGTAAAAGTACAAGGTAATTTTTCGATTTACAAACATCTATTATCATTTTGGTAAATGTGGAAGTCATGGAGAGGGTTTTGCGGATGACATGTGCATTTCTGCACAAAGTAATCTTTTGTAGCTTTGAGATGCTGCTGCATCCAGAAATTCTAATTCTAATTCTTCTTCTTCTTCTTCTTCTTCTTCTTCTTCTTCTTCTTATTATTATTATTATTATTATTATTATTATTATTATTATTATTTCCTTTGATTTCTCATCTATAGTAGTTTCTTTCCGAGTCGAAACCAGAGACCTACCGTCAGAAATGGCATCATGACATTTTCCACTGAGCACTTTTGAGGAAATAAAAACAATAAAAATAAACAAACACCTATGATTACATATTTTACAAAGGCAAAGCCCATCGTAAAGTGTGGACTATACTTGTGAGTACAATGTTTTGTATTTATTTCAGACCTGGTCTACCAGAAATCTTTTCAATGAGTCGATGGGAATCTCTTCTCATCATACCGAGGGCTCCAACTACCACTGAAATTGTTGATGTCCTCGTGTGCCATATTCTGGAGATTTCGATTTCAAAGTCCTTGTATTTTGATAGTTTTTTTTTGAAGATCTTCAAAAATACATTAGAGTCTGCAATGTCAATAAGAAGGCAGATTTTGTCTTTGCGGTCTCCGATTATTATTATTATTATTATTATTATAACAATAGGTGTGTCAGAGTAAATATCTCTGTGAAGAGAGAAAATTGCTTATCAATCACATGCGTGACTAATCGGTCCATGATTAATTTTTTCATTTTCGTGTGACGTTTTGCGAATTTATGTGAGCATTTTCAAATAAATAAGATCCGAGGAAAGGTCAGGTGGAGAATTTTATTAGAGAAAAAAAAGAAGCAAGTAAGGTGGAAATTGAAAGAGAAAAATAAAATTAAATCGAAAACTGACGATGACAATATTTTTTCAACTTGCGATGAAGTCTTAATGTCTTGTGAAAGAGTAGTAATGCCTGCATCTCTTCAGAAAAGAATGTTGAAAGAATTTCATCCAGGTCATCCAGGTATCACTAGAATGAAATCCATCATGCGCAACTATGGCTACTGGCCCAATATGAACAAAGGCCTAAAGAGATTTGTAAAAGCATGCAGAAGTTGTGCCATGGTCGCAAAATCACCACCAGTTAAATTCCACCCTTTGCCAAAGACAGACACACCGTCATCGAGATTACACATCGATTTCACGGGATCAATAAATGGTATCTATTACCTAATCGTTGTCGACAGTTTTTCCAAATGGTCAGAAATTTTAATATGCTATGGTCCAACTTCTACAATTACAATAAACTTACCAGATACGGTATCCCGGATAATACGACGCAATTCACTGCTAAAAAGTTTGAAAGTTTTTGTAAAACCTTTGCGATACTACATATCAAATCTCCCCCACCCACTACCATCCAAGATCGAATGGTCAAGCAGAACGCTTCGTTGTTACATTTATAAGGGCATTGAAAAACAATGTAGGTGAAACTAAGGATATGTTATTACAGCAGTGTTTACGTGTATATCGGGTGACACCTAATCCTAACACAGTATCAGGTATGTCACCGGCAGAATTAATGATCACCAGGAAAATTCGATCGCTATTTGACAAACAGCTGCCGAATAAAATAAAAAAAAAGGATCAAAAAGAAGAAAAAATTCGATATTAAGAAATACTTCAAACCCGGCGAAAAAGGATTCTTTCGAACTACCAAAAATGGAATGGAATGCTGTGAAAATGGGGTAGACGAGAGAAGTATCGGAAATTTATTGTACATGATAAAAGGGTTTATGTTGGCACATGAAAAAAACATTGAAATCAAATAAGAAAAAGGTACTCGGACGAATAGAGTATCCGAGAAGTGGAGCTGATGGTGGTTCTGGATAACATTTTCGATGTACCTATGCCACAGATAGCTCCGGAAATCACACGCTCCAGTAAAAGGAAGAGATAGCCTACAGAAAGTCTTGCATCTTAAATCAAACAGAAAAAATAGGAAGTTTCAAAAGGGGAGATGTGGTAAAAAGCAGTTACTCTCCTTGCTATCATGAATGCACTGATCCATTCATGATAAGTAGTCCTTGGTAATTGTCTAGGAAAGGGAGATAATACTATTACAGTGACTTGAACTGAGTATTGAATATTACTATCATGACTGACTCTGTCGAGTTAAGTGTTGTGTCTTTCCTGATCACACATCACAACATTAGCTAAGGTGATGTGTGATCTATCTATCTATCTATCTATCTATCTATCTATCTATCTGGTGAGGCGTCAGCAAAAATAATGATTATCGAGCCAGTTTACTTGATAGTTGTTAGTGTTGTGAGTTTTATCATAACCGTATGCCTCCTGTTTGTCTTGTACCAGACTAGGCTGACCAGAATAAATATCTATGTGAAGATATAAAATTGCTCCTGAAACATCCCTGTAACCATCATTTTATCTATGTAAGTGTTTGGGCGAGTCCGCTTTACTCACATGCTGTCAAATGACAATTCTACCCTTTTAGACATTAGTACATTTCTGTATTAGTAAAATTAGCAATAGCTACACGATATACATAGCTTGTTGTCAAACTATGTTTCTCTATATTCGTGAATGTATACACACACGTGATAGATAGATGGGAACAGAACGGAGATAAACAGATCGATAGGTAAGACGGTATATATATATATATATATATATATATATATATATATATATATATATATATATACTAGCAGCATGGCCAGGCGTTGAGCGTGCTTGATTCAAAAATCGTACGACTCATACAGTAATCGCTATCACTTGACTTAAAATATTTTGGCCCTTCCTTGCCTTTAAAGGAGTGCCCTTTGCCGTGCTGATGCTGCTACATGCCTTACTTCTTGCCTATTTCACACTGCGAATTTTTTCTAAACTCTGTACTAAACATTAAATCTGTTACGAAAAAAGAACTAAACAAAATGAACACAAAACGATCAGCTTTAAAAAAGGACTCGTAACTGGAAAAACCAAATGAAAAAAGAATGTTAATAACAAATATTTTTCACACCCCACCCAGTTTCCTGAAATATTGAGACTCGTTATACTACTTGGGCGGGGTTGTCGTTGCCCTTGTATTGTTAACCCGGTACTTTTGAAACCATACATTGGTCCGATTTTAAGTTCAAATAAAAAGAGCTCAAAAGTGTTTAACAACGTGAAGTCAACTACACAGAGTCCAAAATGAGGTGAAAAGCTTAGATGTACTGGGCCGAGTAATGCAGGCGAGACATTCAACTTAAACCCCCCAAAATCCGTATCACCTGTAAGTTAAACGTTTTTTTTTACAAAGTTTGAGTCCCAAATAAAGAATCGGGCTCCGGCATGACACAATGACGTAAATTGAAAAATCGGATCTGGGATGCGGCCTGGGAGAAAGAACAAAGTTTAAAGTTGGAAATGAACTGCTGAGAGCATGGTCAACACAGAGGTTTGTATCGATTTTTGAGTCACGACGGGGTCACACGGCATTCTATGCAAGGCACCTCTAACTGGGCCGCATAGGAATTTCTTGTTGAATTGTAAAGAACGCCCGAAATTTTAGAATGTAATCCGCCAAATACCGGAGTACCAGCCGATTTACCAACTTTTTGAAAGCCTGAGTCCAAATTGATAATCTGTCTCTGTTGCGAATTGACGCAGTAAATGCCGGAAGTTGAATCGACATTTGACGTTAAGTGCAGCCTGGGCGTGAAAAGAAGTCAAAAACGGACAGCTGATGGCATAGTCGAACCGGAGCTTTTTATCGATTTTTTTGCTGCACGGAGTGGTCTCGCACGCATTTTTGAAAGGGCCCGTAATCTGGTCGGGGTCATTCATTTCTGTACATATGGTATGGTGATGTGAGGAGAGACAATTGATGCTTGTAACTATACATTAGTTGGCGATGTCTTCAATGCTTTACAGTAATGCGGTAAAGGGGAGCCAGTGCTTATCCCAAGGATGCATTTGTATCTATCAGATGCCGATATACCCTTCACTTTCAGAAGATCCCCATTCCCATTCGCACCCTGTTTTGCTATGACAATTAATAAGGCCCAAGGACAAACGCTGTCTGTCACTGGTGTACACTTAGAGGAGCAGTGATTCTCATACGGCCAACTTTACGTAGCCTGCTCTGGAGTCGGCAGGCGCGATGATGTGTTCCTTTATTCACCCTCAGAAAAGCTGAAAATGTGGTCTACACTGAAGTCCTCCGCCAGTCCTCAGCAAACTCCATTCCATTTTTCCTTTCCATTTTTTGGCATTGCAATGCCCACAGACAACTGACATGGATCTTATTTGGAGGTCTTTGCGACCGGAAAGCCTCAAAACTGGCTCATAGTTGAACTCCACCTTAAACCAAAACTTCTTTGGTGGGCTACAACATTTCAAGCCTTTCAGTTAGTCCTTCTACAGCTCTAGTAGCGGAAGTTGAAATTGCATCGCGTTGCCGCCTTGTGCGCTTTCGCTGCGTTACGTGCGGTTTTCTCAGCCGTGATCTCCTCGGACCGTCGAATGGAAGTTGCAGCGGCGTCGGCTGCATTGCGAGTAGCTTTTTGATGCGGGCTCTGTCGAGACCGTAAAACCGCTTGTGATGAAGCCGCTTTTTTGTTGTCTTGCAAGCGTTTAGGTAGTTTCCTCTTACTTTTCAACGAATATGTCTAAACTGATTTGCAGTACAAACGGTAGTTACGCTCACCAAGCATTTCATGTGACAAAACATACTGCCTCCGTTGAGATTGATTGGAAAGCCTCAAAGAGGCCTCTACCTCGGTTTCCTCCTCCCACTTTCTCTTTGCCGCAGAGACTCTTTTAGAACGCCTGCTAATGTTGCCTCGACATGGTATTTTGGCACGCTTAGCAAAGCTGCCGGGTCGGTCACGCCACGGCACTCAGAAGAGTGCAAAGCAGAGGTTGAAGTAGACGCCAGCCGCTTCTCCCCCAAGGAGGCGCACTCAATGGAATCCTGCCCCCGTTTCCCCTTAGCCGTTGAGGCTTTTTTTGAGCGCCTGCTAAGGTTGCCTCGCCTGGGTGTTTTTGAAGTCTTTGCAGAGCTGCCGGGTTGGTCATCGCCACGGCACGCAAAGAGTGCGAAGCAGAGGTTGAAGTAGACGCTATATGATCATCTGTAACCGGAGTTATTATGTGCTCCTCCGCAGTCGTCTGAATGTGCATGTAACGTTAACGGTATTAGGGGTCTTCAGTTGCTGACGTGCGGATGTTCGTCTTGTAGGAGCCATTTGAAGGGTTGTAGAAATGCTGTGTAAGAATGCGAATAGAAGTTGATGCCGAAGCTGAAGCGGTGCAACCTCGTTGTATACGAAAACTAAAAATGAAGTGGAGCCGTATGGAAAAAGCTTCTCCTAGCTATGGGCCGTGCTTTCTGGCAGCACGAAAACATCGCCGTAGGAAGAGGTTACGCAACCAAAACATTGAAGCGTTGAAGGTTAAAAAGTAGTGAAACCCTAAGGTGTACTGGGCCGCGTAGTAAAGGCAGAAGAGAAGAAACTTGCGACAGCAGTTAACTGTCTAATAGCAAAACTGAACTACGAAAAGGTAGAAATAGGTATGGAACGCTCAGATGGACTGGGCTGCGCAGTAGAGGCAGCACGCGGAGATAAAATGGGTAATGCTAACGTTTAAAGAAATAGGTAACTTGCGGTAGCAGGAAGCTGTCAATTAATCCAAGGACAGATGCATTAATGGTGATCAAATCAAGACCTGAGTGCGGATGCAGCCGCGCTGAAGGTATTTAAAGGGTGCGTGACATGTCATTGATTGGTGTAGCCTGGACATTGGCCATGAATTAGACCAATGAATGAGCTCACGCAAAATGGAAAATGCTAGCACGCATTCATGCACGCGCACATGATTTGCAAATTTAATTAAAATGGCTTTGGCCGTAAACGGGGTCAAGCTGCCTGCTGCATATGCAGCTTGGCTCTAACGTACGTGATGCCGGCGATGAGAATGCAAGGAGCTGCAATGAAGACTTTGCTCGTTTGGTTTGTGCGACAACGAAAAGCCGCTAACCGTTTGCTTTGAAATGAATTGGGAGGAAGTCCTGCTGTTTTAGCTCAAAAACTCCTCGTCAGAGCTGGGATGCGGCCTGGGCTAGGGGAAAAGTTTTAAAGAATTGGAAAATAGACTGCTGAGGGCGGAACCATTTTCACCCAGCACGTATGCGGGTTTTTTTTTTCAGTAAAGACGCGAATGAAGGAAGTGCTTATTTTGGTAAGATGCGACGATTAAAGCAAAAGTCGAATATGTCATTTGTGGCTCAAAGTCAGACCTGGCAGCAGGGATAAAAAAGCCGAATTTCAATGGCCCTTCACCCATTCCAGAATTAGAGGTCAAATGTTTTCTTCAACCCAACTGCACGCACAGACCTGTTTCTTCCTGCGCATAGCGTGACCTTAAATTAATCTGCATTTAGGAAATACCCAACCGGAAAAAACATTTTTAAGGATTGATCGATCGTCGATTTGCACTCAGTTTGGGGGTCGCTCAGAGTTGAAACTCCACATGCTGACTCCCAATGGCCTCCTCGTATATCCGGTCGGTTTTCGCTAAAAATCGACATGCGGTTCAGGCACAATCTGGGCATATCGGTTTTGGGGTTTTATCGATTTTCCATGCTGTTTAGGGGTCCGTGGTCATGAAACTTCTGGACACCACTTCTAATGATAGACTCTAAGAGGGTGTCAAATTTGGTTGAAATGTGATCATTCCTTCTGTAAGCATATTTTTTCGATTATAGATTTTTTAGATTATCGATTTTTTCGGAACCTGAGTCTGAACTCCAAAATCGGGCTACGTCATGTCCTTACGGCAGCCATTTGCAAACTTGTGTTGAAAACCGCATCGAAATCGGGTGAGAAATGCGGCCTGGGCGAGGTAACAACGCCCACGACAGACAGACAACATGAGAAATATAGATAGTAGATATATATATATATATATTATATTTAGGCTCTACTTTTGTATCGAGCACTGTTTTTTTAAAAATAATAACAAAAATACTAAAGAACTTTGGATTATTTATCTAACGAGTTCTTTCCTATTTTCTATATATTTTCACACTCACACACACTCACCTCACACACACACACACACACACACACACACACACACACATATATATATATATATATATATATATATATATATAGGCAATGTAAATCTATATACTTTTACTAGCCGAGGTACCCGGCGTTGTCTGGGTATACATGGTTCCCTGTATACCCGCATCTCCTGTCTAGAAATGCCTGCCTGCGTCTCCGCTTGCATACATCTTCCGTTGGCATACTAAGCTACTCCCCACCTCATCTTTTTTACGGTATGTCCTTCGCGACTGTTTGATTGTTCTTAATAAAGGAATTCCATCGATAGAACCTTCTTGTGTGGTCGTTGTTCGGGGTTAAATTGTTTTAATGTTTTAGACATTCAGTAAATTTCCTATGCCATAATAACTTTCAAATAGTATGGCACTCTTCACAAATCTAATAATCAAACAAAAACAGGGATGAAGCGTCAGAGCTTGATTCAACAGCAAGTGCAAACGCATGAAGCCCTCCTCCTTTGCACATTTACTGCAAAGTTTTGGTTAGTAATAGGTTCTTCAGGATTTTTTTCCCTTTTAACGCTATAGTAATCCTTCTCAAACAATCTTTGCATCAAAGTTTGAATGCCAATTTAAGATGGAATCATATGAAGAAACTATTGGCTAAATGGCAAAAGCCGATTTTGGACTTAGTTTGTCGTAGATTTCGTCCACTTAACTGAAGTAATCTAAACCAAACATTCACGCAAGGCAATTTGTCCAACATATGTAATTTACATGGCAAATTTGGAAAGCATCACATGAAAAACCAGGGACTTATGGCCGAAAAACTGGCTTTTTAAACAGATTTTCGTGGTTTCTCATTATACACTACCTTATTTCTTGCATGATGACAATTTTTTGCGACATGTTTGAAGAAAATTGGATATAAAATGAGGAAGTTATTCAAGTTTTTATTTTAAGTAGTGCGAAAAACGCGTTTTTTTCACATTTTTGCAATTTATTGTGTGAAGCCAACGTCGCAAGAAAACTATTAAGCACCACTCTACATAAATCTCGTAACATGAGCTATGTTTTGCATTAAGTGCAAAGAATTTTCTTTGCGTGCCTTAGTTCTTGCAAAATGTCGTACCCACCTTCAGTTTTATCGATTTTTTTCCCAAACCCGGGGTGCTTGGGGATTGAAACGTTGGACTTAACGTATCTTAGTAAATTTACAACAGGTGCATAAATTTCATCGAAACCGGTCGAGAAATGTGGACATGCATAAATAGCACACAGACACACACAGAGACATCTTCTGTTATATATATATATATATATATATATATATATATATATATATATATATATATATTGAATAATAAAAATATTAAAAAATAATGGCCGTCATCAGGAAAAAAAATTGCTTGATGGTAGCAGTGAACTACAGAAATGAATGTCTTGATCCCGAACTCTCTCTCTCTCTCTCTCTCTCTCTCTATATATATATATATATATATATATAGACTGAGATAGTTATGAACTAATAGATAGATAGGAATAGACCGAAATAAGGTATGAACTATGATAGCTATATAGATAGGAATAGACCGAGATAAGGTATGAACTATGATAGATATATAGGCAAAACAGAGACTGAGATAGAGTTGAAACGAGACAGCTAGATATGAATAGACTAAAACAGACAGATAGTTATGTAGATAGATGAACAAAAATTCAAAGGTCTTATCTTTGCAACCGATTTAAAGTTTCACCGTAGAATCAGATATTATTATTATTATTCGAATAGATTTATTTGACTCTGACGAGCGAGAAATAAATACTGACACGGCCAACAAATTAATTTTGTTATTAACTTAAAAATTTCTAAAATGAAAATGTCTCGAACCCTCTGTTGGGGATTCAACAGAAACATCGTTCAAATACGTAATTACTCAGTCCAAACGTGTGGGAAGTAAAACCAGGAAAAAAAGAGGACGAAAAAGAATCTATCAAGACGACGCAAATCTATTTTGGATAATTGTTACAAGCTCTTTAGACGCGTTCCCTTACAACTGACTGACTGGGGCAAACAACCTTCAATGGGAAGTGTCGACCAGTTTTGCTTTTTTTTCCTCCGACATTTTTCATGCAGGTTTAAGATTTTTTCCTTTGTTTTTTTTTCTTCATCTCCAAATACCTATATTTTATTTTATTTCTTTTAATATAGGGCAACTAATGCGGAAAGGAAAAGGAAAAAAGAAAAGGAAAATTAAATGTAAAGAAAAAAAGAAAACAATTCGCCTTACAATTTATTTCCTGACTGAAAAAAAAGAAAGAATTTCTTTTATGGTGGAATTGCACGCATATAATTATGATTTTCGTTATCATTGTCATCAAGACCAAATAATAATGTGATGACGTCAGTTGATGAACGCAACTTTTTGATTGTTGTACAAATATATATATATATATATATATATATATATATATATATATATATATATATATATATTTGTGTGTGTGTGTGTGTTGTATATATATATATATATATGTGTGTGTGTGTGTATGTGTATTCAAGCAGGTCCCTTCATTCAAATATGTTTCATTGAATAACGTAGACAAATTGTGTCTAACTATTTTTATACTGATTCTTTCTGATCAGTTTCTTGATGTTAAGATGAAATTCACCAAGAAAAGTTGTTTTTTTTTTAACCTAAGTTCTTTCGATCTTTTCCAAGATGATCTTCAGGGGTGAATTACAAAGACAAACTTATTGTAACAGCGATAAAATCTGCATTCTGTGGTGAGAATGATTTTAAAAACACGCAGGAACGCGAGCGCGTTCGTGCATGTTTTTAAAATCATTCTCATTATTATTATTATTGTTATAGTTATTTTAAAATTTTAAATGTATCCGTTGTAGTTGTGGATTTTTTTTTTTTTTGCAAAACACGCATTTCAATAAAAGGGAGCTGGCGTTGAATTGGTAGAAATGTAAAATGGCGGTAAAGGT